TGTAGCTGGCCAATGCCTGTTTTCCAAATGCATCTGCTGAAGTAAGAAAGTTAAAGGTCTTTTTTTTTTTTTTTTTTTTAATGAACTGATGTTCCCCTTCGTGGTTCATTGCCTTGGGGCTGGTATTCTCTCCATAGTCAGTAGATTGCCAAATGCTCACAAGTAACTGTGAGGGCAAACAGAAGGAACAAAGGTTTCCCACACAGGGCGAGTAACTACGATCAGCAGCAAAGGATGTCACAATGTGCGTACTGACTGACCTGAATGTCTCACCAGTCTTAGGGAGAGGTGTAGAGATATTCTTGTGAGTCTAACTTGACATTTTTGTCTTCCTCTCACTGCTAGTTTTTTGAGACAGGGTTTCTCTGTTTAATAGTCCTGACTGTTCTCGAACTCCATTTGTAGACCAGGCTGGCCTCGAACTCAAGAGATTCACCTGCCTCTGCCTCCCAAGTGCTGGGATTAAAGGCGTGCGCCACCACCGCCCAGAAAGTTAAAGCTCTTACTGAAGGCCTCTACAAGTAGTAGGTGAGCTATGGTACCTGTGAGATTGCTTCTATTTTTGGCTCAAGGTGTACCCACTGGGATTCCAGGCCCATGCTCAGGGCCTCTGGGCACAGCTGTGCAGGTTGTATTCTCCACAGATGTCCCTCCTCCTGGGGATGAGTGAGAACTGCAATTCGGTGTAAGTTCTATATGCCAAGCAGCATGTCTGTGTAGAAACCCAGAGACGCTCTTGGGGTAGATGGCCTGACTGTTTTGGAGCAGCTCAGAGTTAGTTTTCTTGCTCTTGCCTAGCATTGCTCTCATGTTCAGAGGAGGCATCTCTGGGAAATAATGGGAATCCGCCACTCACCGCTTCACCTTCCCAAAACTGACAGATTGCTGAGCCTGACCGACCCGAGTTTGATCCCACATGTTGGAAAGAGACAGCTGACTGTTACAAATTGTCCTCTAGCCTCCACACACACATCTGGTACATATCTCCCCCCATCCCATGGTAATAAATAAAAATGTCAAAGTCTAAATGAATGAGCGGGGAACAGGCACTGCTTGGCCTCCGCCCCTCTTTTATATGTGGTTATGGGCACTGTTTTTCCACTTCGAGCTACTTCTCAAGAGCAAGTAGAGATGGTAGTTTTGTGTAAGGTTTTCCAAGTGTTAAATGTTGCCTCAGATTATCTAAAGCACTGTAAATTCTAAGGAGATTTGTAGCTCCTAAATTAAGGTTATGCTCTCTAGCAGGTATATAGACTTTTAAGAGAAGCAATTTAAATATTATTCTCAGGCCAGGCATAGTGGAACAAACCTTTAATCCCAGCGCTAGGAGCCAGAGGCAGGTGGGTCTCTGTGAGTTCAAGACCAGCTTGGTCTACAAATCGAGTTCAAGGACAGCCAGAGCTCAAAGAACAAAACAAAACAAGATGTGGCACGCACTAGATGAAGACCCCCCTATATTGCCCTCTAGCCTTCATGCGTGCACCCAGACACACCTGCATACACAGGCGTACCCCCCCACTCACACCTTAGCCTTCTCTTGTCAAAGATAAACAAAAGCTCATGAGCAGACTTAATTTCAGGCTTTATGGAAGAAGGCAAATCTAAGAGTCTGACAACTTAAATGGTGCTTGTGCCACATATGGTGGTTCCTGCCATGTCTTTTAGGTGAATCAGGGCTGTCCATAAAAGCTCTAGTATTGCCGGGCGGTGGTGACGCACGCCTTTAATCTCAGCAATCGGGAGGCAGAGGCAGGTGGATCTT